AAGAACTCAAGGGCATGGACACAATTTTGTCCTTTTTATTTCTGGTTCCCACCTCATTCTAAGACTGGAAAAATTTTCATTCTTTTAAGAGAATATTTCATTCTTAAATTTAAGAGCATACTGCCATAGAAAGAGCCATTAGTCAGAAAGACCAGAGTTCAAAGTCATCTCTACCTTCACTAGTAATAACTTGGAGAAGTTACTGAATCCATTCCAGTCCTAGTTTCCTTATGAGTATATATGGGGTCAATAATTCCTTCATGGTGGTTTGCAGAGGAGATTAAATGAGATAAAGTATGATCCAATGCTTGCCATATAATAGGAGTACTCCAGAAAATTGTTTCCTTTCTCTCTGCTTCCACACTGGTACTGGAAACCAAGGCCCAGACAAGATAAGATATTTTGTTAAGGTCAGTGGTCGAGTCAGGCTTGAACTTGTGCCTTCCATTACCCATCTTGCCCTCTGTCCCCTACGTCACACTTGTTTCCTAATGCAAGTCAGATATTAGAAGCATCACAAATGGCATTTCCACTTACTCTATGACTCATTGCTCATGTTTGTGGGCAGTTTAAATAGCATTAAACAAAGTACTTACTCCTTGACATTCATTTCTTCAACAAATAATTAACGATCTCTAATTATGTAATACATACTTATTATGGAGAGGTAGATTTAACTGATAAATCAAACATCCTCTTACTGAGGAACTGATGGGGTTTCTTGGCCTATATTGTTGATGATGAATTTACTCTTTACCTGGGGCTGAGCTAAAGGGCGTTTTCAGTCCTGTTAAACAATGACACAAAATGTCTCTGGCTCTCTCTACAAGAGAGTTCATAGGTATTTCCAGGAAGTTAGTCATAGCACTTGATTATGGGTAAGAGCATCTTAAAAAGACTACTTCCATCTTGGAATTTCATGTTTACTTCAACATTCTGGAATCTGCCCAAGCAAGGGGTTCCCTTTTCTTTGGCTCAGCCTCTTTTTTTTTTTTTTTTTTAAAGATTTTATTTATTTATTTGAGACAGAGAGAATGAGAGAGAGAGAGCACATGAGAGGGGGGAGGGTCAGAGGGAGAAGCAGGCTCCCCGCCGAGCAGGGAGCCCGATGCGGGACTCGATCCAGGGACTTCCAGGATCATGACCTGAGCCGAAAGCAGTTGCTTAACCAACTGAGCCACCCAGGCGCCCTTGGCTCAGCCTCTTGACTGCATAAAAGGAGATCCCCAATATCTTATATCAAACTTATCTTGAATTGTATAAGCAATGAGTAAAGGGAATGGAAAAGCATTTGAGAAAGAGATGACTAGAAAGAATCATAAGTAAACATGTATATGGAGAAAAAGATTTAACTTCCCAACCATTTGGAAAATGTATCTTGTGTCACTTAATATTCTGCCTACAGTGTAGATGGAAGAATAAAGGCAAATCATAAAAATATTATTTTGTAATCCAGGCCACTGGATTTACTTGTAGTCAGTACCAAATTACCACTGCATATTACTAGTCAGAATTCAACTCTTCCTTCTCCATCCTAGAAGAGAATTTTTTGGGGGGGATGATATCATAGTGTTTAGAAATGAAGAGATTTATATTGCTTCTAGACACTTTCTAGACACCAGTACATTTTGTCTATCTAGGTTTCGGTTTCCCCAACTTTCAAATAGGAAAATAATGGGCTGTGCTATTTTACAAAGCATTGAGATGCTGTGAAGATCAACTAAGACAATGTACCTAAAAAAAGTTGGGAAACTGAGTTATGTGAACAGTAGCTACTATTATTATTACTATCTTTAATCACTTCTTTAAATCACTTTGTAATAGAATGCTTCATAATGGGAACCATTATGTGAGTCTCGGACTTCTCACTGGAGTTTAAGCTCCTTGAGTACAGAGCTTACTCATTTTTGGATCCTGCATCTTCTACTGGAGTTTGTACAAACTTCCTTTGTTTCCCTTCCAGATGCACAACCTATATAAGGGAATTCCTCTCTCCTTCCCTTCTTGGTAGGGGATGCTCATCAGGATGGCTGAGTGGGTATTTGGAAAGGCCTTGGGCTCACTCTTCACCAGGACTCGGCGATTTTAATTTTAGCTGCAAGCGTTGATGGAAAAGGTCACAGAGTTCAGGCTACTCTTCAGTGGAAATGAAACTGGAGAAGGGCATGAGGCCAAAAATAAGGCCCTTTCTAAGTAGTGTTTGGGGACATGGACTTCAGCACTTCAAGTACCCACTAGTCTTTTCTTTGCTTCAGGCCCTTCACAGGCCCCTACTCAAGCCTTCATAGGGGCCAGAGGGTCTACTATAGGAAAGCAGAGTTACCCTTTCCTAACAGCAAGCTCAGAAGAAAGGAATGCACTTCAAATAGCCTGGTTTGCTCAGTAACTACTCATGGGCCTCATAGTCCTTAGGGCCCTCCTCTATTTGCAATTGATATGCTTCAGGAAGCCAGCTGTTGGTAGCAAAGGGACAGTGAGTTTTGTTTAGAGGAAGACTTGTATGAAATGCTAGTAATTGGACCATCTCTGGAATGCTTCCTTGTCCCTGTGAGGAAAGAGTCCTGGGCCAGAGGAAGAAATAAAGTCTACATATTCTTATGTATAGTTCCGGAAATACTTCTGGGAATTCATTTGTTGAAATGACAGAGACTGTCATATCGGTCTCATTTTAAACAGTATAATTACTGCTAATAAAAATTGCTGACCTGTTACAGCTTGTAACTTAAAATAGTTACAAGTGTGAATGACATGAAGATTTATGATGCTACAAATCCTTTTTTTTTCCCCCTGGCCTCCCATGTCAAGGAGTATCCAAGAATCAGAATCTCCACCATGAATTTTCCAGAATACCTTGACATGTTTGCATGAGTTAGGAGTTCAATTTAGAAGCCATGACTCCAATACATTTGCAGTTTGGTAATATTTTGTTTTTCACTTATATTGTTCACGCACAGTACTGTGAATTTATGAGCTTGTCTGCTGCAGTTATTGACATTAGAGCAATTATACGCCATTAACCTCAACCAATAACCGGATCACACTGTGGTATTCACTATTCTAGTTGGTGCTCAGTAAAGGAGTGATGGAACACCAAATGAAAGCCTAAACTTCCTAACATAAGCCAAGGCCCTCTATGTTCTAGCTCAACCTAGATCCCCAGCTTTATCTTCTCTCCTTTCTCTGACCCCCCACTAGTCTATCAATATTGAACTTTTATTATAGTTTTTCCACACACAAAGTATTCCATGCCTCCTTAACTTTATTGCTACCATTCCTTTCACTTTCTCCACTTCTTCATCTGAGACTCCACTCCTTCTCAGAATTCAGTACTCCCTGATAATGGAAAGTCTCTCTGACAATCCCCTCCAACTGCAGTCTTATCAAACACTCTTCTTATATCATTTCATACCACCCTAAACAAATCTCTAACATAGCATATTTCAAATGATATTGGAATTATGTCTTTTTTTCCATGTCTTTTTCTCCCACTATGAACTCCTAAAGCAGAGTCTGCTTACTATGCATTGAATCATGTCCCCCCAAAAGATATGTTGAAGTCCTAACACTGGTACCTGTCAAGGTGACCTTATTTGGAAGTAAGGTTTTCACAAATGCAATTAAGATGAGTTAAGATAAGCAGGTATAAATCCAGTATATAAATCCAATACAGCTAGTGTCCTTACAAGAGGAGGAAACACACAGGGAGAAGTGACAATGGTCATGTGATAAAGGAGGCAGAGATTGGAGAGATGCAGTCGTAAGCCAAGGAATACCAAAGATTGCCAACAACCACCAGAAGCTAGGAAGAGGCAAGGAAGCATTCTCCCCTAACACCTCCAGAGAGAAAAAGCCTTGTGGACATCTTGATTTCAGGCTTCCAGCCTCCAGAGCTGTGAGAGAATAAATTTCTTTTTAAGCCACCTGGTTTCTGGTACTTTGTTATGGCAGCCTAGGAAACTAACAAAGCTTGTCTTTTTTAATTTCATATTTAAAGTGTCAACATAATTCTTGTCACTGAGTAGACAGTCAAATGGTTGTTTAATTGCCATTTAAATGAATCCGAAAACACCTGGAATGTTCCACTGCTTTTCCCACCCTTTATTTAGCAGTCACCCAAGCCCCACCCAGCCAGAAGGCTTATGCGAGCTACTTTCACCTTTGGGAAACATTCTCTTGTCAACCCAGGCCTTCTTTCTCTGGATTCTGTTTTTTTTTTCAAGATTTTATTTATTTATTTATTTATTTATTTATTTATTTATTTACTTACTTTATTTATTTGAGAGAGAGAGAGAAAGAGGGAGCAGCAGAGGGAGAGGGAAAGGGACAAAACAGGCTCCCTGCTGAGCATAGAGCCAGACACAGGGCTCAATCCCAGGACCCTGAGATCATGACCGGAACCGAGGTCAGACACTTAACTGACTGAGTCACCCAGGTGCCCTTTCTTTCTCTGGATTCTTAAACCATTTTACTACTTATATAATCTTAATCCTAGATATTTTAGTGTGCCATAATGCACAGCTTGGCTTCCCAGAAATTTCACATACTTGGAGGTCTGGAGGAAACTCTATCTTGGTTATCTAACGTCGCGAATGTATGAATCATTTCACATTCCATATACAATATAACTACTTCCTGTATTGTCCACATTTTCTTTCTTTTTTTAAATAAAGATTTTATTTATTTGTCAGAGAGAGAGAGAGAGGGCACAAGCAGAGGGAGTGGCAGGCAGAGGGAGAAGCAGGTTCCCCGCTGAGCAAGGAGCCCGATGTGGGACTCGATCCCAGGATTCTGGGATCATGACCTGGGCTGAAGGCAGACACTTAATCTACTGAACCACCCAGGCGTCCCGTTGTCCACGTTTTCAAATGGCAGTGAGAAAAATAAGACTCAGATTGATGACATAACTCACCCAAGACATCAGGATAGGAAGTGACAGAGCCTGGATTTGAACCAAGGCTTGTGTGATTCCAGATTGTGCTTTATCCATTTTTGTCTTTTAGTAAGACCTCAGAGTGGTAACCACAGACCAAAGTCTTCAATTGCCCATGCTGTCACCGAAGAAGAAATCTGACACTTTTGACCACCAGCAGGAGCTGAGCATACAGATATGTGGGACATGAAGACTCTGCCAACCTAGTGAGCTAGAAACCAGAGCCAGCAGCAAACACACAGAGTCCTCTTGTAATCTCCTGTAATGAGGTCCAGTGTCTCCCAGCTTCCCATGGGATAGTTCACTCTGATCCAGTTGCCCAAAATAGCAATTTAACTTTTAGTGAGTGCAGGTTGGATTTCATTTGTAAATGGTAACAGAAAAGGATAATGCTGAAGAAGTCACCAATATATTGTCTCCCTCCTATTTCTAATCATTATAGTCTCACTACTCCTTCCCAACATATATAGGAGACATATGATTGGAAACGGAGACCTTCTTCATAAAAACCTAGAATTCCTAAACTGTAAAGAAAATATACAAATGTTGTCAATTTCTATCCTTCTAAAGTAAGACCACATGCAGGAAAACATTTTGGTAAACTCCTAAGAGCTACATCACGAGCTGTTGTCATCGCTTTAGAAATATGCATATGGCATTTCTTCATGAATTTTATAAGCCAATACTGGTTCTCTTTCATTATCTGAATTTAATTTTTTAAATCTGTTTTTATTATGCCACTGTTAATTTTGCTAAAATAGTCTTAGTCAGCTTGTGCTGCTATGACAAAATACCCTAGACAGAAGTGGCTCAAGCCACAGATGTATATTTTTTCATAGTTCTGGAGGCCAGAAGTCCAAGAACAAGATGCTGATAGATCTGGTTCCTGGTGAGAATGCCTTCCTGATGTACAGACAGTCATCTTTTTGGTGTATCCTCACATGGGAGAGGGAGAGTGAGCAAGTAAGTGCTGGTCCCTCTTTTTTGGCTCATAATGACACCAGTCCCATCATGGGGGTTCTGCCTTCATGACGTCATAAGTACCTTCCAAAGTCCCCAACTCCAAACGCCATCACATTGAGGGTTAGGGCTTCCACCTATGAATTGGGAATGGGTGGCACACATTCAGTTCCTACAAATAATAATGTGTTTTGAAACAATAGCCTTTGTTCACCTTACAAAATCCTAACTATTCTATAAATTAAAGAGCAGATAATGCAGAATGCTTTATTCTGAATAGTCACAAGGGCATGAAATGTTTGTTTTGTTGTTATAAAAAGCCTAAATATGTTTTTAAAACCAATGTGGTGAGAAACCTAGTTTTTATTCCTGGTCCCAGCACTTACCAACTGGGTGACTTTAAGTTACCTAACTTTTTTGAAGGGGCTGGCCAAATCTTGGACAATTTGCACATCAACATAAATGATGATACTAAAGTATTATATCTCCTTCAATAAAACAGGAATCCACTTGTCTTCATGTATCATAAGTGAATAAGTAAATGGAGAGGTAAGAAGGCTCTGTGTCAAAATATAGATGTGATGATGGAGTTAATCATTGGGCAATCATCATAGAAGAATTGACTTGGGTAAGAGACATTAGTGGATGCTAAAACTAAAGGATGGAAATGGGATGTGAAACGGGATTTTTGCATTGTCTCAAAGAATTTCCTTGTAATTGCAAAGGTGAGAAAAGTAACGGTAGAGAAGAGAAAACTGGCCAGTGCCAAGTGATCAAACTTCATACCACCAGTAATAGGAAAAATTGGTCTGATATGCCACGGGAGGGGGGCAATGAGAACACAGAATTACTGCTGTGATATTCTGGCCCCAAATGCATAACCTGGGTCCAATCACAGGTAAACACTGGACCAACCATAGTGGAGAGGTATTTATTAAAAAGTTGGTCTGCAATATGCAGAAGTGTCAAGGTCATGAAAGTTGAAGTAAGACTGAGGAACAGATCCAGGTTAAAGGAGATTAGAGAAACATGGCAACTTTGTAGCAGCATGTGATACTGGATTTGATCCTTTTGCCGTAAAGAAGATTATTGGGACTATTAGTGAATTAGAGACCAAGGGGGTCTCTGGGTAAATGGAGATACAACTATTCTCTGCATTAATCTTACAACATTATTTTTCAGATTTGAAATTATTTCCAATGAAAAGTAAAAACAAATGTGGGAAAAGATAAAATAACTTAAATTCTGGAAATAACTCCATGTTGTGATAGGAGGAAAACGAATTCTAAAGATTTTGAATTGAACATTAGATTTGATGTGAATTTGGAGAGACTCTGGTTACTATTGTTATTTTTCAGAATAGAGGAAGATATTTTTGTTCTTGATAGATTAATGCTAGTGTTCGAAGAAAAAAAAAATCTCAAAGATTCAAAATGGCCTATTGCTTTGATCTTTTAAATTGTGGTGTTATTCAGAAGAAGCTGGAAAGCAAATGAAATTTTATTCGATCACGCACATGGTACATTTAATTATAGGCATTATTTAGGGGATACATGAAAGCATTCTGTTGGTATCTTTTGTTTCTTCCATGATAAGAACAAGGGAATTGTTTTCTGTATGGGGGAGTGGAGATATTTTTCCAGAGGATAATGCAATTTAGAGGCTCTGTGTGTTTTAAGTGTTTCTCAGGGCTGATTAAAGCCTTGCACTTGGATTGGAAAACTAATACTCATCTGCGTAATGAATATCCTTTCATTTCATGAAAGAGGAACTTCTTCTTAAGTAGAAGTTACAGTCATGACAGGATCACACAAAGGCAGGTGGCAGCGTGCCTACGACTGGCAAAAAGTTAACAGGAAAAGTCTTGGCACTTAGAGTTTGAGGAACATTTCCAGACATACTGAAAATTAGATTTTCTTGTGCTTTAATCTATCAAATTAAATATTCCTTTTTGAAATGTGTATATATTAATCCTTGTTTTATCCCAGTTACCTAGAGCAGCATCAATAAATAACGGAAAAATAAACTAAAAGTGAATAAATGAGTAACAAAGGATGATTGAAATGATCATCTCCTCTCAGTGATAATCAGTTCCACCCTTTCTCTTATATTTTCAACTTTCTAGAGCAGAAGTCAACAAACTACCACTGATGGGCCAAATCTGGCTTGCCGCCTATCTTTGTAAGTAAAGTTTCATTGGAACACAATCATGCCCACCTGTTTATGTATTGTCTATGGCTGCTTTCATGCTGTGATAGCAGAGAACTTACAACACAGACTGTATGATCCACAATGTTTATCTGACTCTTTACAAATAAATATTTGCTGCCCCCATTCTAGAGAATGATCAAGGGCTTAGAGTTTAAATGATGGTAAAGCTCAAGAGAGAACCTGATGGGGTTTGCTTCCAGAGTATGATTCAGAACAATGATTTCGGCTTCTCAGAGCCCCTTGAAGACAACTCATAAGTAATAATCTTCCAGCTTGTTCTTCACGCTCTGCACTAGAAAAATAGAATCCTCTGTGGGTACTTCAAAATAAGGAATTTGAAACAGTTAACTATTTACAAAGGTGCCAAAAGGATTGGCAGGACAAAAAATAAGAGGGTCACAGGTTAATAACTACAGGGAACTAGTAAGACTACCTTCAATGCTGAAGTAGGAAAAGGGAAGATAAACAGTGTTACTAGAGCCCCCCATTGCTGCACTACTGATGTGGATGCTATTGGAATCTAGCTGCCCGAGAAGGAGCCCAGGACCACACACACACTAGCCAGCACAGTTTGCTGCCACTGTTGGAGGGAGCCACCAAAAGATGGGAAAAACATGCTTTTTCAAACTCCTTCCCACTTTCCGGACTCCCATTAGTGCCTCCTCGTGGCATAAATACCAAGAAGCCAGTTGGCAAGGGTGTCTGGCAGATGTCGTTGATAGGCTGCTAGTCTCAGGAGTAGAGAGGATGGATAGGAACGATGACCATGACACTGAGGGACAAAAGACACTATCTGGCAGGGCTCATGACATTTGACCAGCTTGGTCATCATGTTCATATTTCCATAATAAGAAGAAGATCCTCACAGGTAATGGTGGTAGTGATGGTGAGAAGGAGTGCCAAAAACAATAGGTAACGAGAGGAAGCAGTGTACGTAACATCAAAGAACTGAGAGTGTGGTAAGGTAAGAGGACTTGATGTATGTTGCTTAAGAACATGATGGAAAGAGCGGAGCACAACTTGTGGAAGCTGGAGAGATAACATTGAATGGGGGTAAATCATGAAGAAACCTAATGCCAAAAGTGACAACATCCACAAGACATAAACATCATTATGAGATTTTACCAAGTTTTATCCTTCTGGGCATGATATTCTTCATTGGAAGAGTCAGATTCCAGCCACCTAGGCCAGACATCTATAAAAGGGACCAGAAGGAAGTTTCCCTTTTCATGATGATTCAGATGGATTAGCCATGGCTGCCTATAGATCTGAGTTGTGAAGGATTCTGAGCAACCTCCAGATTCATTGGAAAGAGCGCCATGATTGATTTACGATGCCTGCTACAAGTATAGGAGTGGCGCAGTATGTCATATGTTTGCTGCCATTATCTGTAATAATACATATATCTGGCGATAGTCTTTAATTTGGGAGTTTCCCCAAAAAGCAAATAAGTTGCTAAGAATGAGTGCTACAATTAGATGTAGTAAGTCTTCATTATGTTTTTTTCTTTAGAAAAAAAAAGGGGGGGGGTTTCCACAATAGACTCTCACGTTTATCTCCAATTGTTCTTCATTAAAAAAAAAAAATTGGTGCTAACACGAATAAGTGTAGCTAAAGGAGTCGTTTTTGGCAGGTCCTACTCAGGCATACTTCTGCAGGTTACATGTTACCTTGGTCCTACAGCATCCTGCCTGGGCTACATATGTTACTTTAGGACACTTCTTAAACACTCTTTGTGTATTATTAGTCTCTTCAACAAATGGTGTTGGGAAAACTGGACAGCTACATGCAGAAGAATGAAACTGGACCACTTCCTATACCATATACACAAATAAACTCAAAATGGATTAAGGACCTGAATAGGAGACCTGAAACCATAAAAATTCTAGAAGAGAGCACAGGCAGTAATTTCTCTGTCACTGGTTGTAGCAACATCTTTCTCGGTATGTCTTCTGAGGCAAGGGAAACAAAAGCAAAAATAAACTATTAGGACTACAGCAAAATAAAAATCTTCTGCACAGCAAAGAAAACAGTCAACAAAAATAAAAGACAACCTATTGAATGGAAGAAGATATTTGCCAATGACATATCTGATAAAGGGTTAGTATCCAAAATATATAAAGAATTTACACAACTCAACACCAAAAAACCCCAAATAATCCAATTAAAAGTGGGCAGATGACATGAACAGACATTTCTCCAAAGAAAACATACAGATGGCCAACAGACACATGAAAAGATGCTCAGTATCAATTCATCATCAGGGAAATGCAAATCAAAACCACAATGAGATTCTGGAGAATGACTAAAATCAAAAATGCAAGAAACAACAGGTGTTGGTGAAGATATGGAGAAAAATGAACCCATGTCCTCTGTTGATGGGAATGTAAACAGGTGCAACCATTGTGGAAAACAGTATGGAGGGTCCTCAGAAAGTTAAAAATAGAACTACCCTATGATCCAGTAATCATACTACTGAGTATTTACTCAAAAAATACAAAACACTAATTCAAAGGAATACATGAACCCCTATAGCAGCATTATCTACAATAGCCAAATATGGAAGCAGCCCAAGTGTCCATTGACAGATGAATGGAGAAAAAAGATGTGGTATACATATAAAATAGAATATTACTCAGCCATAAAAAGAATGAAATCTTGCCATTTGCAACAATATGGATGGAGCTACAGAGTATAATGGTAAGTGAAATAAGTCAGTCAGAGAAAGACAAATACCATATCTCAGTCATATGTAGAATTTAAGAAACAAAACAAATGAGCAAAGGGGGAAAAAGGGGGAGAGAGAGAGGGAGACAAACCAAGAGACAGATTCTTAATTATAGAGAACAGATTGTTACTAAAGGAGAGTTAGGTAGGGGGATGGGGGAAATAGGTGATGGGGATTAAAAAGTGCACTTGTGATGAGCACTGGGTGGTGTATGGAAGTGTTGAGTCACTATATTATATCACACTGTATGTTAACTACATGGGAATTAAATTAAAAATATTATATATATATATATATATATATAAGAAAAGAATGACCCAAGAGCAATAGGAGTGGACTGAGAATTGGGAGTTATGGGTTGTGTTTGGTCCAACTGTTGATTTAACCTCTGAGCAAGTTACTTAACCTCTTGTTCTCATGAATTCTT